TTGTAATAAACCAGCATCTAGTCCACAACTTTTTGTTGCATTCTGGGAAATAGGACTTGTAATCACCTTCACCGCCGAACAGTTCCAGAATCAGCGACATTAAACGACCCAGAATACTGAGATTTTAATTCGTAATTTGTTCTGGCTGCTGGGTGCCATTTTGAAATTGGGCGGATTCGTTTATTCGGTGTGTTAGATTAGGCATATATTGGAAAATCGTAACATTTAATATAATTGGTATTTTTAATCTCTTATGGGTTGTGTCTGGCTCTCTACTCGAGCGTTAGTGATGACGAGGATAGAGTTATAGAAATGGGTTACGTGATTTAGTATAAATGATGGCGTGTATTTATCACAGATTTATAAAATACTGGAAAAATTCAATGATAAGTAACTAAAATATAAGAATTACTTCAACAGCTAGTATTAAAAATATAATCGTGTTAATTAATATATAAACACGTGATTTTTATTAACTTATATCCATTTACATCTTAGTGAGCCGTAAATGTGATTGATACATGTATATATATATATTGCATCACAGCTAATTGTGTGGATCACATGATTAATTTGTTATTACATCAGAATTGAATACATTGATCACATCATCAATCTATGATTATATTACATATTAATTGGTGGTACATATCATTAATTTATTATTACATCACAGCTAATATGTGGATCACATCATTGACTTATCACCAATATTTAATATATATTACGCTGTGTGGTATAAACGAATGTGCGGTAAGTGTTACCATCCGAGTATATCTATATCTATATCCAAACAATGTGGGTATACTAAAATAGATGTTCCCAGTCTCTCTGTATTTTCACGTGAAAGTGGATGAGTATGAATAGTGCCCCTGTCCGCTATTGGAATGGCCGTATTTTGACATCCAACAAGATCTCAGATGACTGTGTATGAGATGTAAAAGTTCGCAGATTTAATTTATTTGAAGTTACTTCTCCTTTTGTGTTAATTAGTGTGATCTAAAACGTAAAATTATACTGAATTCATAAGTAAATAAACACAATTTTTGTCACATTTAGAGTTTGCTAGGCAGGTAAAAAGTCACATTTCCAATAGCTTTTTTATAAATGAAATACTATGAACACTTATAGCACTTGATGCGGTAATCTCACTTTTGAACCGGAAGTAGGAGTTTGAACAGAAATATCCAATCGCTTGTACAATGAACACCAAGCTATTTCATTACGAAGGAATTGTGGGCAATGTAAATCTATGTAAGTGGTTATAAGTATGCTCCACTTGGCTTGTCTTGGCTGTCACAACACTCTATCCTACTCCCTCCGACAAGGATGATAAATGTCTTGGTTATAAGCTGATTGAGTAGATTTATTTCAAATCATTAGCTCAGTGTCATAATGTGTGTGTATATATACCCACAGATATTTGTCTGTCTGAGACAATTCTGTGTACTCAAGCGTTATTGATGGCCGACATGCACCAATGCACTCATGGTTTCCCAGAAATCTGCTGCTTTGATATACTTCTCTGATACATTTACCACTTAATAAATGAGCAGTGAATCACAGCCATTTCAATGTTATGATGTAAAGGAAATACAAGCTCCTCAAGACGCAACAATAGCTTCCAGGGCTTGATTTATAGCATTGTATAGGCGATATTCAGTTCCGAGTTTGAGCGATGGTTTAGTGTTCCTGATGGCTCGTTTGTCGCCATTGATTGGCACCACGATCTGGACAGGCGGTCTACTACTGGGGCTTCCTAACGTCACTAGCAACGCGACCCAAACGTCCTTTCGTATCAACTATGTGTTTCTATGAGCGTTAATGAAATTTGATGCGATTTTTGAATTAATTTCTCTTTTCCTGATCGTGTTCATTCAATTGGGTTTATTTCCTATATGCCTTAATCAATGCACGCTTAATTAGGTAAACAGTACAGCACATCCAGTAGCTGATGGTAAAATGGTCAATTTTCTATTGGTCTGCACGATCATGGCGTCTACTTTCTGTTCAAGTAATGTACATCATATAGGCACCCCTTAACACAAGTACATATAATAGTTGGGTTTTATTCAACTGGAAACTAATGGCAAAACGAGGAACCGTTTAATGTGTTCATTATTATCTCTATCGAATAACTCTCTATTCTCTCATCAACCATCACTAAAAGCTGCCAAAGAAAATCGAGTTTAGTCTCACAAAAAACAGTGGCGACAAAAGATGTTGCCTTTGATCTAAAATCAGATTTTTCAAATGAGAGAACGCTTTAATATTTTTTGCGTTCATTTAGGTTTTTTTTTACTTCAATAAAGTCAAGATATCCGTCAATATATCTACTTGTGATCGTTAATATTTTAATTATATATGTTGTATTTAGAAGAAGAAAAAAGTAAATTTCTCGTCGTGACAATTTTAGTAGCTTGTTATTTTATTATGTAAAAATAGTCGATATCTTCTCATTATTTCGTTGTCCAACAAAAAGTCTAGATTTATCAATGAAGCAGATAGATTTTCCTGAATACCTGGTCTTACTCTCCATGCACATCATCAAAGGTAAAAATAGTATTGTTTTTCATCTTACCATAGCTCCTAGCTGGGTTGTTTCAATCGCTCTTTCATCGATTTTTGAGTTTGATATAAGATTTTGTTCTGGTATTTTTTTCTGCTTATCTGGAAAAATGTCAGCTGTAATGCAAATGTTTAACTTATTACCCAAGTTTGGAATTCCCCGAAAGTTAAAGACATATATCAGGTATCCTTTCCTCGTGCAGTTCGTCAGCAGAAAGTGTTTATTTATGTTTTAAGTAGTTTTTGTTTTAACCTTTCGAACTTATTACCGGCGAAAAGCTTGCTTTTAATGATTTGTTTGTCTTCATCACCCTTCCCCGACATGGAGTTTGACGACACTGTCGGCTAGACGCTTTTTCGGTGTCAGGGTTTTACAAATGTTTGTACGGCGCGCATCGCCAATCACATAGACTTCCAATGATGCGTGACACTGATATATTGTTTTGGGCCGTTAACTATTTTTCGCTCTCGTTGCCCACACATACATAAGTAAGTATTATCAAAATACGTTGTTTCGTGATGTTTGTATACTCAATGGTCTTAGTAACCGATATGTATATATATATAAACTACCAAACACTCATGACAGATGATAGGGCTTCCATCTTGTCGCAGAACTGATAAAAGCCGCCAACATCTAGACATAGCGAATCGTGTTGTAGCAAAACATATATAAACTCTCCATTCGTTGGGATCGTAAAATTACTTGTCCGTGAATAGAGTTTTCTCACAGATTTACAAAATCCCCTTAACTCCGTTACAACATATCGTAAAAACATTAGTCAGTTAGCTCGGCCCGTCGTCTGTAACTGCCGCCGGAGTCTGGGTGGAGAAAATGCTTCTCATACTGGTGTTTGGGACAACTGGCTCTCTAAACAATATACACATACTCATTATATCCCCTCCGAGAACAGACAAACAATGCCAATCTTTCCCCCTACAAATTGTCCCACCGAATCGTTTTGTGAGTGTTTTTACTTTACAATTAACTCCGACTTCCACGTTCAGTGGCTGATTCCAACATGTCTTGGATACAGAAAACCATATCGCATTCCTAAAATTATTTAGAACCTTGATTTTGTTAAATCTACATGTATGTACCAACCACGTAGCAACATATCTTATGTAATAATGAGGGTTTTACACAGTCGTAAATGAAGGTTTAAAGAGGATGTTTGACAAACCTCAAGGCGTCATATGACGGTTTTGTCAGATCTATATACACTTAAGTTGCTGCCTATCTTATTACATGGCAGTTTTTGTACACATTTTCCTATGAACGAATTCTCTTCTACTTCCTGACAATTACAGCAATGTCTCATTACTTATAGTTTTTTTTTTATTTCCAAAACAGAAGTAAAGAATAACTTGTTTATGTATGTGAATTTAACAAAAGTATACCTTAGATTACTACAGTTAGGATAATCCGATTAAAAAAAAAAACAGAAACCCATATAAATTTGTTGGAGTTATTTGTGGATCTAAATATTAATTATGCTTTAGATTTATAGCATATATAAATATGTGTTTCATTATTTTACATAAAGATGATAATGAAAGTCAGGTTTTTTATGAAATAAAGAAAAAAGACAAATAAAGAAACAATCAAGGGAGGCAATTCAGGGGAGATAACACAATTATCAGGACGAATTATTTAGTGTGTGATATAATGGGAGAATGTCAACATCCTGTGTGGACATAAAATGGAGATTTAATCGCTGTGTTCGTTCGTGACACGGACTGACTTAACACCCGGTATTAACACAACGTTTCCTACTTTACCTTCATAGCTTTGTTACATTCTAAAAGTCCAATTTAACAGTATCTTAAAATATCCTATTTTTCTTCGATTTCGAATAAAACACATTTAATCTTTCTTTAAATATTTCAGTGACTCTTTTATACGATTATTGTCAATAGATCCGTTTGCTAACTCCCATATAGACAAACAGACAAAAGGATTTATGTGCTAGCACCTGGGTCCTAACTTAAAATTCAAATTCTATACCTCGTAAAATTTGGATGTCTATTTTTCCAAAGGTCGTTTTCCGACCTCTTCAGTATATTTCATCGCTAATAGAAGCATCTTTTGGATTTAATGGATCATTTCTGTCAATGGAGAACGACCCATAGAAATCTCAGTAAAGCCATTCTCGCCAAGTGGTGTACGAGTGTACCAAGTAACCCTCAAGGGCTTTGATGTACCCCATCGAATTGTCCGAATAAAACCATGTTTTTATTACATTATTACCGTATATGATACCCTGTCGATGTTTCCTCTTTGTATTCGGTAGATGAAACATTATGTATATTTAATAATTTACGCAATGCTTGGAAACCGATGACGATTTTTTACGAAAAAACTAAAATCTTCGTTAGCAAATGCTATTTTCCAAAGCAAAAAATGTATCTTCTATAATGTATTTTTGCAGGTGTGGTTTCAAAACAGACGCACAAAATGGCGCAAAAAGCATGCTGCTGAAATGGCAACTGCAAAGAAAAAGCAAGAACAAGCAGAGGAAATGGATGAAAATTCTGAAGACATGGAGGATGATGGGTCCGATGATGGAAAAATGCAAGATAGGCTGGACGATTTCCTTGATCATCAAGGTTTATAGGTAATAAATAGCCATAATAACAATTAGGAATGGTTCCGTTCACGACATAGTACACTTCCTTTGATGACGTAATGTAAGTGTGCTTAGTGAAGTGACGTAGATACATACGTCACTAGGTACTGATGAAGCGGTGAGGCTTCCTTACTCATCTCTTAGGATGAAAGGAATGAATACAGGAATACAGAGCAAGGATAGTCACGAACTGTACACATCTTCGATGTGCTATGATGAACAAAACCCAAAACGATATCATTTGAATCTCAGAGGTCGTGGAGTGCATTTCACCTATCACTACAGTTTGTGTCGTGTGAAACAATGAAGCCCAGCTTAGTGTGAACTGACAATATATTGCACTCTGAAGACCTTGAGAGCTAAACCGATCTTAGTTCATATGGTGTTGAAGATGACATAAGAGGATTTCTGTGCTGTCACGTGACGTCACTTAAAAGGGCTGCATGTCGGCTGCTTCACATGATGAACACAATGAACAACACCGGTGTATTCCAAACAAAATTCATGTATCAGGTCACCAAACGCCAAAACTAATGGTTCTGTATTATTATTATTATCATTGTCATGTTGATACATAGTTGTAAAAGCCAACTTCAGGTTTGAAATGTAAAGCAAGATACCTGGTAATAATTTTTACTTTTAGCCAGGAAAAATGACTTGTCCGCCATCCATAGTAAACCCGACCAGGGCTTTCGGTCGTAACTCACCAAATATTGACAAAGGAAAGCCTATATTCATTAGGAAACCATTTATCAAGATTCAGCTATCGCAAGCTTATTCTTCGTTTACCGTATGTGACAGTTGCTTCGGAATGTGCAATACCACGTCCTAGTGCTAGACTCGAACAACGCTCTCCACCTTCGAAATTTAAAATTTATAGTTTTAACACACCCTTTCGACCTGACGAATGTCTGCACTCCTTGGTAGGGGGTGTATTTTATCATAAAAATCATCCAAGAGAACGATGACTTTCTCCAAGGTTTGTTTTAGGTCGAGATTTGCTGCAGTTAAATGCCAATTGTACGGGCGTGTGTGGTATAGGGATATAAGTCTCTGTTATCCGATCTTAAGTAAGAATTAACATTTGTACCTGTATGTACAGATGTATATACAGAGACGATAAGGCTACTGACGGGGGGCATGTCACACTGCATTTATTACGTAGTAGGGACACCTGTTTTTACTACAAGTTGACCAGAGACGTGGAAGATAATTCGCCAAGCAACAATCCCTAAATCATACAATATAACCAGTAAAAGTGAAATTGGGTTTTACATACAATTTCGATGTCAGAATAAATCCTATGATTGATGGTGTACAAGAAACATATGACATCTGTATTGCATATCACACTGTATAACCAATCCCGTGAGTTATACTGTCGTTAACACAGAACAGAAACATTGTTAGTTTAAGACTTAGGATCGTTGAACTTTTGAACATAATACAATTTGAATTTAACATTTATTGAATACCAATATATCTCTTTCTACGACCGAATAATAGATCTGAAAGCATGTTATTGAAGTAGATGTTAGATGTTGGAAAAGCAATGTGTTATACTATAGCTGTGCAATATTTGATCATCTCATAATCATGAAAAATAATCTTTAAAATAACAACAACGAAGAATTGTTTTAACCTTCTACAATATATTTCGGTCACAGATTTCCTCGAAGTTTGTATAAATCAAATACTAATTAAAACGAATTTATGCATTTTTGAGGATCAGAACTATTTGAATTTTAATTATTGTATATAAAATGACACTTTCATACAATTTAGGAATATAAATAAGAATTTTTATATCCTTCAATTAATTCTGATAAAATCGTCAAATGATGTTGACTTTCTGTCTCAATAACATAATTCTTTCACATTCTGTAATTAATATCTATTAACTATGAGCAATTTACCAAATGCAATACTACATATTCCAATTAGTTCAGAACATAGGCGCTTGTTGTTGGGTTATTTCAGAACACAGGCGCTTGTTGTTGGGTTATTTCAGAACACAGGCGCTTGTTGTTGGGTTATTTCAGAACACAGGCGCTTGTTGTTGGGTTAATTCAGAACACGGGTGCTTGTTGTTGGGTTATTTCAGAACATAGGCGCTTGTTGTTGGGCTAGTTAAGAGCAGGCGCTTGTTGTTGGGTTATTTCAGAACATAGGCGCTTGTTGTTGGGTTATTTCAGAACATAGGCGCTTGTTGTTGGGTTATTTCAGAACACGGGCGCTTGTTGTTGGGTTATTTCAGAACATAGGCGCTTGTTGTTGGGTTATTTCAGAACACAGGCGCTTGTTGTTGGGTTATTTCAGAACACAGGCGCTTTTTGTTGGGCTAGTTAAGAGCAGATGCTTGTTGTTGGGTTAGTTCACAACCCAGGTGCTTGTTGTCGGATCAGTTGAAAAAAACATAGGTTGCCTGTTGTCAGGCTAATTCAGAACACATGTGCTTGTTGTTGTGTAAGCTCAGAACACATGTGCTTGTTGTTGTGTTAGCTCAGGACACAGGTGCTTGTTGTTGGGTTAACGCCTGCCCTGATTCAATAACCCACTAATCGGCTTGTGATAAGCAGTCATTCATTGATAGGATATTGTTTCTATAAAATCCGATATGTTAGTGATATAATGTAAAATCGATGAAGTTTTATTTATTTAGAGATTTTGGACTTCCTATCGAAAACAGCATGCACCTGTCTTAACCAAGAAAAAAACGCTAGAATATTTTTTTAAAAGAATCAAACACCAGTTTATGCTTGAAAATCATTAGGTATAAATAACTGTACAATTTGTAATATTATTCTATATAATAAAGAATTGTTTTTAAAAATATTTGCAGACAGATAATGATGTAACAGATCAACTGCTGACTTTAGGTCTGTTTTCGTTACTAAATAATAGATGTTTGACATTACTTTTGAATTATCAGTTAAACGATAGTCATGTGATACTTTTGTTTAGATATTTTTGTTCTGAAGCGACAAATAAACACTGTAATGACAGAAATACAAAAAAGATTCTATACAGAAGCACCGTGTAAATAGTGTTAATAACTTTAGGGAAGAGTTTGTAAAAAAATGATCACTGCCATATGTTAATTATACAACACAATGATATTCGGTTACCCGAGTCCTATATATAGACTGATACGTGGACATGGAAACAGAAAGGATGAGAGGCGATTGATAACGTTAATTCTAGGATAGCAATCTCATGCCAATTTTTGTTTTATTTTTATTTGTTTTTTGACTCTGAGAAAGCTTGCTTCTCTGTGCGACTTATCGCGGTATGATATTGAAAAATATCTTTCATATGTTGTTCATAATCAGTGATTTATCGGGGAGTACACAATTTCATTCATGCAATATGCATCCAGACTGATCTTCTTCTAGATCATGGTTTTGTTGTTACAATTATTTTAAGTCCGATTCTTTATGTTCTAAATATCCTTAATAACTTGATAGTTCAATTTGAAGTGTCTAGTTCAGTTGTTTTATGAGCTTGAAAAATTATGATTTTGAGGTATCCGGTGGAACACGATCATATAATTTCTTAGAAAACTTGTAGCTTGAGGGAACTTTACATCGACCTATTGTAATTACCATGATAATTAGAACGTGTTATGACCTGTAATTAACAGGATTTTATACATGTGTGTAACGCGAAGGACCTAGATTTGTGATACAAAACACATACTAACAATGATGAATGTGCTAACTTTTATTCACAAAGATTTAATAAAGACTTGTCAGTAATTTATGTGTTTATGTTTCTTATTCACAATGTCAGTTAGATAGTCCAAATGGTCAGAGATAGAGTTGCTAAGCTCAGACACCCATCTGGTATTCACAGAATTAAAACCTCCGTTATCGTAGTTGTAGAAGTCCACTGAATTGATTTGGTTTCTATACGTGGTGTTTAGTTACCTTAGCGACGCTTCAAGTAAAGAAAATAATTAGATTCTCAAATGCGCCGACATGAAAGACGAGACTAGCGTAAACAAATATGTTATCATTATATAACTTCTTTCATGACATTTGGTATTGTTTTCTACAACTCTACGATCAATATAGTAATCACACTTTAAACCATGAAAACGGAGCACCCCAGGATTAGAAAAAAATCATCAACTTTCATAAAAGATATTCAACTTAAAGAAAATTAGATTCTCTCTTTTTCTAAAAGATATTGTAAGAGGAAAGAGCATTATGATAATTTCTATAATTGGTTAAGATTTAATAAAGATGATATGCTGGTGACGCTACTGATCAAAGATGGTACAAAAGACACACAAGTGAATATCACCATTTGATACAAGTTTAGAGAGTAAGATACAGTACAGTTAAATAACCAAACATACAGCTCTATGGAGAATGTTGTCTTTGCGATAAATTTCTAAATATTGAAATAAGTGTGATTGGTATGAATTATTTTATGTTTTATATATATGACGCTCTAAAACAGTGTCTATATATCATAAACTATGAACAACTTATTACTTGTAGTCTTAACTTTCAATTGATGTATAAAAGTAATAGCAAGTAATTTTGAAAATATACAATTTATCATGTGTCAAAATGCATTATTTTTATCAATAGATTTCAATAGTTTTACATGAAAATATTTTGATAAGGACGATTTCCTTGATATATTTAGTTCCGGTCAATAACAACAAATGTAAGAATGTTCGAGTATGTGATCTTAATTTTAATTGGTAAAATCAATATTTGTACATATGTCGAGACTTATAACTTTATAATTGTATACAATATATAAATAATCTTCTGATTTTTCGGAGTGACTGGTCTATGTATTCAAACTTCCCATGGTATCTAGTTTGTAGCATTAGGTACAAATAGGACAATAATACAGCTCATCTGATATATATATATATATACATATTACATTGTTTAACAGATAAAAAAAGTATCGGCAATCAGTATGTTAATCAGTTCTGTAAATATTAACCAAATGATGATGAATAC